GAGTACATGATGTGATCCCATCATATGCTGACAAAAAACAACCCAAGTGTACTGGGGTGGTGCTACACTAGTCTTTTAAAAAGAAAAAAGGCTTTTATCAATAGAAAAGATGAATGCTGGATTATTCTCTGTAGGTTTGGTGAAACATTGGAACTCTCTGTGAAGTAACCTTATTTGTTTCCCCATGGTGAAAAGTTACAGGCTCCATTTCAGTGTTTCAAGATACCTGCAGGCAGCTCATGGGTTGCTATGCTTGTTTTAAACCCTTCCTCGCAGTCAATGTTTCAAAAAATAGTAGGAGAGCATGGGAACATGGGGTCATTAATAGTCAATTACAGGCTCAGTTTTTGTGTTAGTTTCTGGGAAGCTATAAATTTAGAACTGTGTAGCAAAATCTCATGGATTACCTGATGGCACTTTGATAGAAACCCCTCTTAGAGCTTAGTCCTGCAGGTTTTATGTTTTCTAGTAAAACATTTAAGTGTAATTAAATATGATCATGTGAAAAGGCATTAGTTTTTTTTTTTTTTTTTTTTTTTTGAGACGGAGTTTCGCTCATGTTACCCAGGCTGGAGTGCAATGGCGCAATCTCGGCTCACCGCAACCTCCGCCTCCCGGGTTCAGGCAATTCTCCTGCCTCAGCCTCCTGAGTAGCTGGGATTACAGGCACGCGCCACCATGCCCAGCTAATTTTTTGTAGTTTTAGTAGAGACGGGGTTTCACCATGTTGACCAGGATGGTCTCGATCTCTTGACCTCGTGATCCACCCACCTCGGCCTCCCAAAGTGCTGGGATTACAGGCTTGAGCCACCGCGCCCGGCCTGGCATTAGTTTTTAATATGACCTTTGTTGCCAGTCTGGAAATCCTCTAAAATGTTTGTATATTTTCTTTTCATTTCTTTTTCTTTTTTTCTCTTCTTTTTTTTTGCAGAGCAAGTTTGACAGAAAAATGATTTAATGCTCTTTGGTCCTATGTACCTGTACCCTTTTGTCCATGGCTGTTCTAAATACCCCCATGCTTGTTTAAAATGTATATATAATCAGTTACATAAAAAGAAGTATGCTTAAAATTGCATGACTCTGGTTGGAGCAGACACTAGGTATGTCTGTAATTCATTTTAAAAAATGTGACTTTCCTACCTTTAGATAGCGAGGATAATCTGTTAACTCTTTGTGCTGATAAAAACAAACATTTCAGGGCATGGTGAAAGAAATCTCTACCGTTAAAAGTTGATATACCTGAAGTAGTGGAGTTAGGACAAAACTGAAGACTTGACCAGTGTCGTAGTCTTAGCACAGCCTTTTGCTCTCTGTATTATTTTGGGCAAGTTATGTAATTTATCTGAGTGCTCATTTTCTCACATTGTTTTGAGGGTTAGCTAAGATTAGAAATAGCCTTTGAAAAGGACAAAATACTCTGCAAGTGTAAAACGGTGTCTGTTAATGTTTTCATATAATCCATTGAAATAGTTTGCTCTGTCTTAGCTCCATTAAACCCGAACTGGGATGTGGGTGAAACACTCTTCAAAGACAAGTATTGCACTTGTTTCTTTTGCCCTAAGTCTGGAATGGGGATCAAATCCTACCACGTACAAGGAGAAAGGCAAAAGACCTGACAGACCATTCATATGTGGCAGCATGAGTCAAAGTAACTTTTGGAATTTGTATACTCAAACTTAAGAGAAAGAATCGGAAGACTGCAAACTAACTTCGTAATAAACGTATTGTCATTTGTGTTATTACAGCTTTGGAACAAACTTGTTGGGGGTTTGGGTCTCCTTGTTCTTTGTCCCTAAACTCTTCATCTTGAGAATTAACTGGTCCATCAGTGTGCCATTTTTTATCCTGGTCAAGCTGGTGGCAAAAAATGGTTTTATGTTTCTAAATGACGATCTCATAGGCCCAGTCCAAGGAAGGTAAAGTCTCATACTAGACAAAGAATTGTCTCATTGCAGCAAGAGATGACTGGGATTTTTTCCCCCCTGAAGATAGTTTCAATCTGGACCCTTAGTCAGGTTTTCTTTGATTCTACATACAGAGATTGCAGATGTTACAGCTCAGTTAGGCTGAAGCACAGAATATATACGGGAGAAGAGTGAGCAAAGATTCTAAAGGTATGTTGAGGACTTAGGTTTAGACCCATCAGCCAGATATGGAGGCGGGAGAACTTCTGTGGAAGTTGGAAATGGTGGCACTATAATTTGAGAGTTGGAGCTAATCTTTACAGAAGTAATACTTGAAACCGTGGCACTGAATAAAGGTTAAAAAAAAGAGACAGTGCAGAGAGATCAAGTCTTTTGAAGACTATATGTAAAGAAGTAAAGAAAGAAAGTAGTGAGCAGAGATAAAGCCATCAGACCAGTAGGAGCATAATCAGATCATGTGAAAAGGGAAGGAGTTTCAAAGTAGAGGAAGTGGACTCTGTAGAAGGATCAGGGGCAGTCGCACACACCTGTAATCCTAGCACTCTGGGAGACTGAGGCTGGTGGCTCACCTGAGGTCAGGAGTTTGAGAGCAGCCCGGCCAACAAGGTGAAACCCCCGTCTCTACTAAAAAAAACAAAAATTAGCTGGGTGCCGGTAATCCCAGCTAATCATGATGCTGAAGCAGGAGAATTGCTTGAACCCTGGAGGTGGAGGTTGCAGTGAGCCGAGCACCACTGCACTCCAGCCTGGACAACAGAGCAAATCTCCATCTCAAAAAAAGAAAAAGAGCAGAACAGAACAGGAGACCAGTAAAGATGGGGGCCAAGGCACGCCTGGGAAGGTACAGAGAGAAACAGACACATTTTGTAAAGATAGGAAGAAAGCTAAGGGAGTTCAGGAAAAAGCTTCTCTCCACTGATGAGTAGGAGCTGTGGAGAGGGTGGAGGAGGGTGAATTAGGAAGACACAGAAGCTCATCCTTGGAGCAAAGAGGACAGGCTGAATGGACTCTGTCCATATAATTTCATCCTTTCTCAGACAGTGCTCAGAAGCGAAGAGCAAGAGAGACTAAAGCAGACAACAGGAAAAACCTAAGGCTGGGACCAACAAGGGGAAGAGAGGGAAGGTGTTAGAGCAGTTTTTGAAATGACAGACCAGTAAGTAAAACTTCCAGTGAGATAGTCTTTCCTGGGACAGAAAAATAATCCTACAGTTCACGTGAATAAGAAAACAACTGAGAAAAATCAAGATATTTTTGGAGAAGAAAAATGAGGGAGTTTGTGCACTGGGAATTACTCAAGTGTATTATAAAGCTACATGATATGGCATTGGCTAACACAGTAGGTGCAATGATCATCTGAATAAACTAAGAATTCACAAATCAACCCAAATATAGAAAGAAGTTTACTAATTTTAAAGGCATCACTTCAAGTCAGTTGAGAAAAAAATAATCAGTAGGCTTCATCAAAATATGTTATACATTTAAGAGTTTTTGAAGTAGATATGACTGTTTCTCTTTCCTTCATTTAATGAAATGTTTTGAGAGTAAAAGCAAAGGAATTATAAAGAAAAATTGTGATAGATTAAATTACATACATATGAAAATTAAGAGCTTTTGAATACCGAAAAAACACCATATACAAAATAAGGGAAAACATTAAGCTAGCAAAAATATGTAACATTAATAACAGGCAAAGGATTAGTGCCCCTAATAAATAAAGCATTGTACAAATCAATAAGAAAAAAATGAAGGGAATAAAAAGTCAAAAGACGAATAGGTCTATTCACAAAAGCAGAAATACAAATGACTAGTAAGCATTTTAAAAATATTCAGTGTTGGCCTGGTGTGGTGACTCCTGCCTGTAATCCCGGCACTTTGGAAGATTGAGGTGGGAAGACCTCTTGGGTTCAGGAGTTCAAGACCAGCCTGGGAAGCATAGTGATACCTCATCTCTACAAAAAATAAAAATAAATAAATTATCTGGGTATGCTGCTATGCACCATTAGTTCCAGCTACTTGTGAGGCCAAAGTGGGAGGATCACTTGAACCCAGTGATCTGCGATCACACCTCTGTACTCTGGGCTGAGTGGCAGAGTGAGACCTTGTCTCAAAAAAAAAAAAAAAAAAAAAAAAAGAAGAGTTCAATGTTATTAGTAACCAAATAAATTTAAAAATCAACAACAAATAAACTTTTATTTGGTAGAAACTAAGAATAAAAAATTATGATATCTGGCACTGTCCAGGGTAGAAGGAAATATCTAACTTAATAATGACTATAAAAATTAACATTGACTTTCTGGAATTTAGTAATATGTGTTAAAAAAAAAAAAAGCAACTAAAAATGTTCTCATCCTTTGATCTAGTAATTCCATTTCTAGGAGTTTGTCATGAAAAAATAAAAGTACACAAAAATTATGCAAAGCTGTGTATAAAGGTATTATTTACTATAATAAAAATTTGAAAATCACCTCTATTCCCATATGGAGGAGATATGGATTGTCATAGAATGTTCTGGACTACTATGTAACCATTAAAAATTACTTTCAAAAATATTTTGAGATAAGGGGAAATTTCGACGTTTTACTAGGCAAAGAAAAATGGATAAGGTAGTATATATGATATAACTTTAATTTTGTTAGAGAAAATATATATGGATGTATGCATGGAACATGAATGATTATCCTTGGGTAGGAAGATCTGGGTGACATTTTTACTTTTTGTATTAGAAATTTTCTATGTGTATTGCATTGATAATACAGGACAATACATTTTACTTTAATAAAGAACCATGCTGGCTAAGTGGCAGAAATACAGTGCGGTAACACACTGGAACACTGGAAACCCGTTGAGGAGTTACAAGTCCAGGGGCAGAATAAGAGAGAACAGAGAAACAGAGGAGCATTTTGAGGTTTGCGATCTTAGAGGAGCAACATCTCTGTTTGATGAATTTTCTGCTGACAAAGTAGAGATGGATAACATTAGAAATGAGAGAGGCAAGACATTAGACAGGCTTTTGTCAGACATATTGAAGCTCTCAAAAGTAGGTGCAAGCCATGGGGTGGAGACCAACTTTCTAGCATGTACAGATGTCATAGGGAAAAGTGGGAGTGGCTTAAAAGTCAACATTCTTCCCTCAAAACTGGTGGAGAGGAAAGAAAGCAAATGCTGTGAACTTCATGAGAAAGGTGGCTGGACAGTCTTAGGGTAGGGGCTGGGAGCAGGAATAAGGGAAGAAAGGGAAGAGAGAACAGACTAGCCTCTTGTCCCTGATTCCAGAGGTATTGGTAAGGAGGAAAAAGGAATAATTTCAGTCTAAGAGTATATTAATAGCTAGGGCTGCCATAACAAAATACCATAGCCTGGGTGGCTTAAACAACAGACATTTATATTTTTTATCACAGTTCTGGAGGCTGGAAAGTCCAGGAGCCAGGTGCCAGCAGGGTTGTTCTGGGTGAAGGCCCTCTCCTGGTTTGCAGACAGCCACCTTCTCCCTGTCCCTGCATAACCTTGCCTCTGACTTCATTTAACCTTAATTACCTCCTAAAAGCCCTATCTCCAAATAGTTATCATATGGGGGCTGGGGTTTCAACACACAACATTTGGGAGGACTTAATTCAGTTCAGAGCAGAGGGTTTTCAGGTTAACAATATTTTAGAACAAATGCAAGCTTTAAAAAAAAATCAGGGTTATGGAATTATACGTATGGAAAAGATCAAATGTTTTTCGGATTTTTTTTTTTTCCGTAACTCAGCCAATGAGGATGAGGGCAAAGAGGCAAGTTAATTTAGGATGTGGTGAGATAAAAAGACCAGAATGCCAAGAGTAATGCCATTAGAATTACAGGTCTTTGCTAGACCCAGGCAGTAATAAAGCTCCCTAAAATACGGTCTCATCTTGGAGTAGAGAACCTGAGATAAGGATCCCTCAAATGTTTCCTCAAAGCACCTGGATGGAGGCAGGACAGAGGAGCAAAGAAGGCGTGGGGAGGACTATCCAGTTGGCTAAAATAAGCCACAAATTGAGTTCTTATTCTGATTATGTGTAAGGTTTGTTTGATCTAGCTGCTTTTCCTTAGAGTTCAGTTTACATATGCTTCGGCACCCAACCAGCTTGTGTATTTTCAGGATTTTTTTCCTCTTTCTTTTCCTTCTTCGCTTGGTTTTTAGATCAGGGAGGGGAAGGACTGAGGGAAGCGAGGTCAGCAGACGAGACTCATTTCCCGGTTTGTCAGACTGTGCTCTTGACCCCTCCTCAGGACCTGTGATTAATACACGCTTTGTAGAGGAGACTTGGCAAACCCCGCTCTCCACAGGACCCGATTCATAATTCACAGCGAGCAGGAGGAGCAGGGTCTTTGTGGTGGCTTGTTGGCTCTTTGCTGCACAAAAAGCAAAGCCTTCTGACCTTCGCTGTTATCTAATCAGGAAGTAGACAGTCCTGGTGTGTAGCTGAGTCCTCGTAAGACTCTCTACAACTGTAAATTATGTTCGGGCTCCCCGGATCTGGGGCATGCCACACTTTACATTACTATTGTGTATCTTAAAATAAACAGCATCGCAAGCTGTTTATTTTGGTGTTACTATGTATGCAATTTTAAAACAGTGGTTACTTAAACAAATGTCTCTGTTCCCACAGCACTTGAAAGCCAGTGTTTGCTCCTGTGGTTTTGGATTTTGTCACTTCTGTTTGGATTATATTTGAAATTCACACTGCAAGCAGTTGGAATGAACCTGGCAGCACCTAAGACCAGGGCCTGCTGTTGGCCCCATGCTTCACTGTGAGCAGCTCTCTGCCTCTCCACACTGTGCTCCCCCTACCCTCTACAGGCCATATGCATGTGCACAAACCAGATATTTTCCTTTCTCTTTGGGGCTCTAAATTTATCCCCATGAGTGATCCAGAGAGTCATTTACTTTAAGTTCCTGAATGCTTTGCAATTTAATTGAAGACATGGTGTCATTGTGATTTTGTAACAAAATACTACTCCCAAATACTCATTTAAATTGTCATCTGTGCACTACAGATACAATGCATACTCCATTGATATAGCTTGGTGAAGATGAATGAGAAAGCAAAGGGGTGGTAGGCAAAACGGATGTAAAAATATCAAAGTTTTGACGGTGACTTGCCCTGTGACCTTCAGTCCTTATGCTTCTATTACAGAAGGGGTGAAACAGAATGGTAGAAGGTCTTAGTAGCTCATGCAGTACTTGTGTTCAGATTGACTTTGGTTTGATTCACAGGAGGCTAACTACTAGTGCTTTTTATTTGGATGAGTTATTTAACATCTTTAACTCTTCATCTGTAAAATGGGTAAGATTATCAGGATGGGAGGGAACTGAATAAAACAGAATATGTAAAACAGTCTATCCCACTTGAACAAGGTTGGTACTCAATAATTACCTTTTCTCTTCTCATTCCTCCTCGTTCCATGATATAAATTATAGCTGTGGGTGGTCTGGGAATAGTCCTCTTGGCTTGAAGCTGGAGTTAATGTAGTGTGGGACCATCAGTGACCCACCTGGCCTGCTGGGTGATGTTTGGGACTGTCATTACCCAGAGTATGTTTAACCATTAGCGATGGGGCCACAGCACTCCAGACTTCTCCATCCCATGGCTCGTTTTTAAGGAGAGAAGGAGAGGCTAAGTGGAAATTTGTATGATGTGTGTCTTACCCCTGCCATTAGTGAAGATATCAAATTATAATCATTTTTCCATCTTGATGACATGAGTTTCTTCTGTTGTACTAATACGTTGTAAGGGAATTTTTTTTATTGATTTGCTTGTTTATGAATGAATGGGTAAAAATCTACTTTGATTCTTAGATATTTCAAGAAGTCTAAATTCTAGTAATAAAATTCATTGCCTTTAATACTTTGACTCCAAATCAGCCTACACAAGTATAATTTTTGTTCTCATAGCTCAGTTGTATAAATGAGATAATTTGTTTTGCATGTATAGATACTATTTGCATTTTCCACAAAAACAAACACAACTTTGAAAATTTTATATCATAAGCCTGATAGATTGAGGTTGCATAGTATAATAAATCTAAAACATTAATTAGATGATGTCGGTCTTATTGGCTAGATAGCCACATTTCCCTGTCTTCTGAAGCACCTGCCCAAGGTCCTGTGCTGTGAAGACACATTCCTCAGGTCATTTAGATACAGGCAAGGTCCAGTGATTGTTTCTCATTGCTCTCTATGATTCCATGAACATTAACATGTAAAATATTTTGAGCATGTGGATTTTTTATTCCAAATATAAAGAAAATATGTAGTGATCATAGAGTGACCGAAACCTTGGATGGAGCTTCAATATCTTACATTAGCTGAGCTGCCTTGTGTTAGTGTTGTAACTTTTTAACAGCCTCCATTTCTTATCTTTGTAAAATAGGGATAATGATAATACTTCCTCCCAGGGTTGTTAGGATGGACAAAGGAGATCATGATGGGCCAGGGATTCACCACACTGCCTGCATTAAATACTGGGGGAGGTTAGCTCTCAATCACTGTGTTGGCCCTTTAAGGGGACAAATACTTTTCAATTTCCCTAATGATTTGAAAGGTAACATAAATTCAGAATTTTTGATGTCATTGGTTCGCTTCTGTCCTAAACACCATAGAATCCCATTTCTCTTGATGGATCAAAAAACAGGGTGTGAGGTAGGAATAAATGAAGGAATAAAAAGAGGACTCGCACTGTTGCTAGGTGATCTCCATTTTTACTCAGAGTCAGAGTGCATCCTGCCCTCCTTCCCTTCTGTGATTGGCCTATCTCTTAGTTAGTGTTGTTTCTTTTTTTAGTCTGCTTATTACCTTCCTAACAATGAGGCATAATCAAATCAGTTTTTTGTGTGAGACAGGTTCTTGCTCTGTTGCCCAGGCTGGAATGCAGTGGCACCATCATAGCTCACTGCATTTCTGGGCTCAAGTGATCTTTGCACCTTAGCCTTCCAAGTAGCTGGGACTACAGGCATGCCCCACCATACCGAGATCATTTTAAAATTTTTTATTCTTAGTAGAGATAGGGTCTTGCTATGTTGGCCAGGCTGATCTTGTATACCTGGGCTCAAGCGGATCCTCTAACTTCAGCCTCCCAAAGTGCAGGAATTTTAGGGATGAGCCACCAACCCCACCCACACACTGTATAGATGTTTATTCCTTCTCCACAATTACAGCCATTTCATCTCCCCTACCACGTTCTCTTTGACTGTCTGGTTTGACTACGTTTTCATTCTTTCTCACTTTTTTAACCTTCGATGTGTCACTTGTATCTGATGTTCAAATAATTGTATTATTTTCTATTGGTTTGTGTCATCAGAAACAGGTCAAAATTCTCATTACAAAGAGAGTGGAGGGGAATGTACTTTTTTGCCCCAATAAAATTAGATGGCGTAGTGACAAGTGTGTGTTTGTTAAAAAGCAGTTAGCACAAATTAGAAATACTTCACAGCAGATGTGTTTTGTGAAAGGATATGCTAAAAAATTAAACAGAGAATACTTTCCGGTTATAATTTTAGAAAAATATTGTGCAATGAAGCAAATTTACAATTCACTTAAATCAACCTTTTTATAGAGTGTGTGCCTTCACGATACAATTTTGACAATTTTGCAATTTGTTTCAGTGTTTCATTGAGGGGGTGGAAATCCATCTGCTAGTTATTTTGGGGGACACCATTGCATCAATAAAATGATTCCTAAGCTGTACACAGACTTCATTTTAAATTAATGTGTAGCTGTTTTAAGCATCAGTGTCTTAGTTAAAGGCAAAAGTTCCTATTATATGCATAATAGTAGGAATTTCTTTTTTTCTTTCTGTCAAACAATCCCAGTGTAGGCTACTCTCGAAGAACTTCTTGGGCCCTGGGTTCTGGCAGACGCTTCTTATTCTTACTTCACTGATCCCTTTTCGAGCTGCTGGAGGGACGTTTTTTTAAGTTGCTACCGTTCATACAGTTGCTATTAATCACTGTCTGCCATGTTGTGACGCGGGTTTAATAACATCCCATTGAGTGGCTCTTGCACACTGGAGGCTTACCGACGGCACTGGCCTTTGATATTCGACTCACACCAGGAAAAAGAAAATGTAGAGTAAAAAAAAAAAAAAAAAACGCAAATAGAAAAAAGAACAAAAACTGGAGAAAACAGAGTGAAATCAAAAACAGATAGCTTTGTGTGTGCAGCTTAGTTTGCCATGGGAGCAGTGAAGCTATAAATCTCAGCAGTGTTGTTTGAAAACTGAACGTGAGACTGCTAAATTTATCATTCATTCTTTGTTGTTTCAGGGAGGGGAAGAGCTGGCTGACTTGGCTAACTTTGGTTTCTGCCCCCTCCCCTCAATAACGTTTCGTTTTTCTTCAAGTAAAATCAAAATGTGTTTTTTCCTGGATCAAAGAATACTGGGTGATTTTACCAATTGTTGGGGAAAGAAGGGGGTAAGGAGGACTGGCTTTGAGTCATCTATGTGTTGTGGGAGTGTGTGATTTCTCCCACTTCATAAATGTGGGGACAGGGTGGTTTTCTTTCATTATAGAAAGAAAGGATATACACATCTCCTACTATGTACTTTAAAAATCCACATGGAGAATTTAAAAGCATGGAGAAAGTTCACCGCCGTGAGTAAATCTCGAGCCTCGTGAAGCTGCAAAACTCCCTCCTTTTGTTTGCACTGGTACTCTATGTTGCACAGCGCAGGGGAAAAAAAAGGTAGAAAGCAAGCCTGCTACAGATGTGACTAGCTATGAATATTCATGAGTGCCAGTGCTCCTCCTTTCCTAGAGCATCCAGGCCTTTCTGATCTTCCTCTTGCACAGCTCCCAGATGCTCCCCCTGCCTCCCACCCCACACTTCCCCCACCTCAAATCTGCCCTCCCTGATCAACCCTGGAACAGGACTGCAGTTTATTTCGATAGCCTGGCATGATACAGTGATCAGCAGTGGCCTTAGAAGTGTGCGCGTGTGTGTGTGTGTGTGTGTGAGTGTGTGTGTGAATATACCCCTGCATCAAAACAAAAGGGGGAAAAGAAAAAAAATGTAATTATCTACAGTTTTATGAATTCAACTCCCCTTAATGTTCATTATTTAAACCAGCAGCAATTACAAGTTCAAAGGGGTTTAGAGGGCCAGCAACCCGCATAATCACTGCCAAATTAAGCGGGGCTCATTCGTCACAGGAGAGTACACCCTGAGCAGTGAATCATGCATGCCGTGACAGGCTCTGATTTACATAAAGCAGAAATCTGTGCCCTCTGGGGCTGCGCGTTACTTCATCTCAGTAGCCCTGTGATACGAGAATTTTCTTTTGGTGTTAGGAAGCTGATACTATCTCCGACATGCCATAGCATTCCACTAAATATTGACAATAGCTTTTCACTTTAGTGTACACTTGAGCTCAAGTCACATGTTGGGCCACGATGTCAGTGCAATTCTGATTCTGGGAAAGAAAAGAATTTGATTCCCCTAAAGTTTCTGAATTAAGTACTTTTATGATTAGAAAGAATGAGAGTTTTGGTGGCACAGTGTGTTTCCTTTTATCCCAATCTATTCAGGTCTGTAGTTAAAAATCTATGATGCTGATAAGGAGGGAAAAAAAAAAAAAAAACCTTAGACCTATGACCTAAGTGCCCGAAGGGAGTGATCTATTGAGGAATGCCCCCTGAGGCCCTTTCCTGTTTGGCATTTAGAGAACTTTTGAGTGTTACCTAGTGACAGTTGGAGATGGTAATTGAAGTAACCTGTGCTCTGAAGTTGGGCTTTGTGTTACCAAACTTCAGAGGACTTCTGATCAGATGGTCCAGGAAACCTGCTTGAGTGCTGTCATCAGCCATTGAAATCTCTTGTATCTAAATAATAAAAATTCCAGAATTAAGTTCAAATCAAAGTGCATTTGGTTTAGGATGATTGTGTAAGACACCAAAATAACGTACCTAGATTTTTATCCCCCATTCTTAGATGTTCTCTCTCGTCTCTTTAGGCAAAACTTGGCACTGTTTTATCAGTTGTTTTCTGTCTTTTGGAGAGACCTCAGTTTTCCATTTGTGGCTCCATCATCTTGGGGTTATGATGTCATTTCCCCAAGCAGTCATTCTCTTTTCTCAGATATAGTGCTGCAGCCACACTTAGGATTGGAAATGATTGGGTTTTGAGAATTCGTTTGGCAATTTGGGAGATAATCTACCCTTAGTTCTTTTTATTTTATTTTTATTTTTTTACTTACTTTGAAGTCAGATAAAGGTCTTGTGGTTTTGTGTCTTGTAACTTGGTCTACACTTCACATATATCGAAGCAGTGGGTTTAAGAAGTTCTTTGTAATAGATCACAGTAATATGTGAAGCTGTGACAAAATGGACCCAAGACATCCCTAAAAATGCTTCCTGACGTTCTGGTATTTATTGGTAACATTCTACCACCACCACTCAAAGCCTCCAGGAACTTTACCTTGCCATTAAGTCTGCAGATAATTTGTTTCCCTGGGTTTTTGCCTGTATCTTCCTCCCTGAAATTCTTCACCAAGTGGAGATTTTGGATACTCAAGTGTGAAGTGACAGGAATGTTGTCTCTACTGTCACTAGTATACTGTAAGGCAGCCTGTTTATGCTGGAAAGACAGGTGAGCCAGGAATCTGAGTCTCTGGTTAGTCCAGGTAAGAAACCAGGTTAAATGGGCAAGTCATTTCCTCTCCGAGCTTCAGTTTCCTCAGTTGTAAAATGGGATAGTCATTTCTATCTTGCCTAACCCAGAAGTTGTTATAAGGAGTGGTAGTGGTTAATTTTATTTCATTGCCAAAGCTCTGAATTCATCAAGCTGTTTGAGTTCCTCCTAAAGTATCTTTATTTATTTATTATTTATTTATTATTATTATTATTTTTTTTGAGACAGGTTTTGCTCTTGTTGCCCAGGCTGGAGTGCAATGGTGTGACCTCAGCTCACTGCAACCTCCACCTTGTGGGTTTGAGCAATTCTTCTGCCTCAGTCTCTGGAGTAGCTGGGATTACAGGCTCCCGCCACCATACCCAGCTAATTTTTTTGGTATTTTTAGTAGAGACGGAGTTTCACCATGTCGGCCAGGCTAGTCTTGAACTCCTGATGGCAGGTGATTCACCTGCCTCGGCCTCCTAAAGTGCTGGGATTACAGGCATGAGCCACAGTGTCTGGCCCTAAAATCATCTTTATTCCTCTCTTCTCTTCAGTTCCTCCGTGTTCCTCAGAAGTAAGATGCTTTCTCTCGTTTCTTCAGGCCTTATTCTCACTTTCAGGCTGAGCTTTGCTGTAAGGTGCCATCTGGCACTCTCAGTGGAAGGATTCTCCTGGACTCCTTGAAATCTTCCTAGCCAGTTTCCTTCTCTCACCACCACCTGTAGCGTCCTAGGGAAGAAGAATCAACATTTTCACTTACGTTCTTTTGTCTAGCCCCTTCCTCCAGAACACATCCTTCTTTTTTTTCTGTTTAAATAATTTCATGCCTTTTAAAACCCCAATACTGTCGAGGTTTTAAAAGGGTCACGGAGATTGAAATATGCATTTACAGGAGGTAAAGATTGGTAGACAAATTTATACCCTGTAATATAGCCCAGAAGTGCTAAAATAAAAAAAAAGATACATTAAAAAAATAATATTCTAATCTTTCATGTGGGTCCACCTGAAAAATACACTCAATGACCTGCAAATCCAAATTAGATTTATATTAAATTATTTAAAGATATTCTAATAAAAAATTTAATGTAATTGAATTTATACACATTAGGAAAATTTTAATTACCATACTGGTAAAAATGGCCATATAGTAGTAACTTATGTAGCATATTGATATACAAATATGTGTAAAATAGGCAGTATATAGGTGCACACACATGCATGCATACACACGTGTACACACACAAACAAGCAAATTGTGGTAAGGTAGAACTTATGTGAAATCGGGGAAGAATTGTACCATTTCCTCAGTTAAATTCATGGGACCTTTTGGTGGGCACACTTCACCCGTGGGCCTCTTTGTAACTGGCCTACCAATAGGGTATATGATTAGATGCTGAGGTTCAGTTAGTGATAAAAACAGAAGCATGCTTTCTTTGCAAACAAATGGTGCATCTCTTTATTGACTTCTTTCTTAGCAATCTATGGTTTCTAACATGGCCAAACCACTGGGAAAGGACTGAGGAACAAGGAGATGTTTTAATGATCAAATTTTACCTGCTTTGGTCCAGCCGCTATAAAATCTTGCTGCTATATTGAACCAAAGTACCCATCAATGTTCCTTTTATTGGACATGCTTCATATGTAGTGATGAGATTATATGCATCCATAGAGGTTGTTAGGAAAAACTTAACATGCCACTGATGTGCAATGAAGGAAAGTTAATTGTGTTGATGCCACAAAACTGCATCACCGACTAGATCCCTCTGTCAGGAGTATTAATCTGCCTTGAATAAAAACTGCTAAACAGGCTTGTAACCAACAGCCTAAGGTAAAACCTGGTATTAATAAACCAATGGCAATGAATCAAGTCACAACTATCTTTAGTCATGCAGGGATCTATAGGCTGTAAAACCACCGCCAGGCGTGGTGGCTCATGCTTGTAATCCCAGCACTTTGAGAGGCTGAGGCGGGCAGATCATGAGGTTAGGAGTTTGAGACCAACATGATCAACAGGGTGAAAACTGGCCTCTACTGAAAATAAAAAAATTAGCCGGGCATGGTGGCATGTGCCTGTAATCCCACCTACTCAGGAGGCTGAGGCAGGAGAATTGTTTGAACCCAGGAGGCAGAGGTTGAATGAGCCAAGATCAGGTCCCTGCACTCCAGCTTGGGAGACAGAATGAGACTCCATCTCAAAAGCAAACAAACAAAAAAACACTGATAGAAGCTGGTCTATAAACATAATCCTTTTTCATATTGCTAAAGAATTTAAGTCAAATACAGCTATTGAAAATGCACATATCTCTTTTCAGTTTCTATCATATTATCAGTAACATATACTTTCTTTAATCAAGAAAACTAATTCTTTTGGACTCTGAGTCTATATACATTTGGGTCTTAATAAAGAACTTCGTTTTTCTATTTTGAAATGTCTGTGGATAATTAAACTATCCTCAAAAATCTCAACTATGATGGACTTATATCCAAGCCACTCATATAATTCAACTGCATCTGAAATTGGTCATCATTGAAGATGACAGGTTGGGAAATGAATGTGATTTCCATGACCGAATTTTGTGTGGAGACAAGAGATACCTACTTTGAAAAGTTATGTCTCTATATTTAATAAGTCAGCTTTTACTCTGTGTGATATAATATCCCTAACCCCAAATATATTTACATATACACATAGAGCTACTTATACGTGTTCATCTGGAGAATGATCTATAGACTAGATGACGTTTCAGATACATTCCAGTTTAATAAATCTTTCCCTGTCATTTCCTCATAAGGAGCAATAGACTATTGTTTTGTTTCATTTGGAGAACAATGGCTAAACCTAAGCTAAATACAGAGAGATGGGCAAAAGGAGATATGGTAAGAATGATGGTGTTCATGAACTTGGGACTAGATTTGTCTTATGCACCCTAAATCATTTTGGACGCAATTACTATTGTGAATTAGACATTCTTCCTGGGTGAGGGAAGTAGAGATGTGAGTGTGAGTTTAGAAGGAGCAAGAGATAAAGTCAGATCAGCAATAAATCCACCTTCAACCCCATTCAATTAAGTTTTTAAATTCATTTTAAACAGCTGATCTAAAGAACTCCAAAAAGCTTTGGAGAGTCATCTAAAACAGTGCTTTCCGCCAGGTGCTATGGCTCACACCTGCAATCCCAGCACTGTCAGAAACCAAAGCAGGAGGATCGCTGGAGCCCAGGAGTTCGAGGCCAGCTTGGGCAATATGGTGAAACCCTGTCTCTACTAAAAACAAATTAGGCAGGCATGGTGGCATGCCTATGTAGTCCCAGCTACTCCAGAGGCTGAGATGTGAGGATCTCTTGAGCTCAGGAGGCAGAAGTTGCAGTGAGCCGAGCTCACATCACTGCACTGCAGCCTGGGCAACAGAGGGAGACCCTGTCTCAAAACAAGCAAATAAAAACCCGTAGTGCTTTCCAGCATTATTTTTCAGGCTATGAAAAGCATGGGTTAGTATACATCAAATGGGATCTGTCTCCCTTACCTCCATTAACTGTAAGGATATTAATTCAATGTTCTTATTCATTTATTCACTTATTCTGCTTTTATTGAACATCCACAAAATAAATTAGGAGCTAGTTTAACTGATTTAGTTTTCAAATTCATATCCATATTTATTTTTTGTATATATGTATATACATTCTAGAATTGTCAACATTCATATATATTTTTTGTACCCAAATCAGTTCTTTTCAGACCCTCCTTTTCAATCTCCAGACCTTTGTCAATGGCAGACTAAAGAAAGTGGGAAATTTTAAATTTTCCAAGGATAACTTTGTGAAGTATCAAAGTGACTAGGAAGCAAGTTTCTAGAATACTTTTTCCAAATTGAATGACTTCATATTAATTGAAGCCTAATTCTTCATTGCCATAAACCCAAACCAAAGGATATATTTTGAAACACTTTCGTTGTCTTAATAGACACAATCTTTTGTGTAAATGTTTCTCCAGCCAGTATTTTCCCATTTACACAACACTTAGGTATCCTAGCAGTGCTAAAATAAACATTGGCTTCAGCTTAACAGGACAAATGTTTGCACTCTGGAATTGTTTGTCGATGAAATAAATATTTCCAACCCAAAACAAAACAAACCTGAACCCTACATTTATTAATGTGAAGTTGAGACCAAATTTATATTGGGTTTATGCTCAAGTTGACATCTCATTTTAATTCTTATGGTCACAGAGACCTTACTTTTATGGGTTATCTTAAGGAATTCAATCAATGGAAAAAAAATGATAATTTAAGAGGCGGGAGATATGTTTACTGGTTTAGGGTTCCATTCTGCTTTATTCTCAGCCTGAAAAATTCTGTTTTATACCTAAATGTGTGCAGCGCAAAATGTCATTTCTTATGTTTGTTCCTATAATGCATTCTAGCACTTAAGTGATGCTTCACTTAAAAATACTTAGCTCTTTCTTTTTTCCCCCCAAATCAATAACTTTAATGTCTTCTCCAAATAAGCTAAAATAGTTTTTGATAATTTTCTAGCAAATGGTAAACTTCTGCCTTTTAGCAGTTAAAAACTTTCTGAAATATTTAAAAATCACACTTGACAGTATATTAAAGTGAGTGAAAGTCTTTATCTGAAGATCCCACTCAACTTTTCTTGTACTTAAAATATTATAGGCAAATTGAGGAGATGACTTATTATAGAAATAAGAAGACTTAAATGAATAAATTTTCCAAAAGAAAAGTGACTCTTGTGAAAGATCTCAAATGGCACACTTCATTTTGTATTTCATCTTTACTGGCTTGTACTCATCTACATTCATTTACAAATCCGTGAAAATGGTTCAAAGGTCATTGGTGAAACTTGAGAACAAATGCAAAACTTCCAAGCGTGGGAAATAAGTAGAAGTAGATTTTAAAAACATTCGGTTTATTAAATTGGGTTGATTTTATTACTAATTTATAAATCAGTCAAAAATGTAAAGCCAAGTTACTTGTCCTAGAGCTAATATAATTATAGTTAGCTAGCTAGCTAGATAATCTGTAGTTGGTGATAAAACTAAAAATAATCTAGTAGAAAAAATTGAAATGCTCTTTGATCATTCTTTTATTGACTGGCTATATTCAGGATAATGGCACCGTAGAAATGAATACTTTTCTATTGTTTAATTCTCTGTGTTCAATTTAACATTTTTAAAAAGGTATCCTTATTGATAGCAGATGTTTCAGCCTACCCTTATATTTTTTACATGAAGAGGAGAATGTTCTGTTTTAAAATCCTTAAGTTTTGCTCTATATTGACAAATAGTTTTCTAGAGGTTTGCAGACCTCCTGGAGACAACATTATGCTAGGTGTTCGATAACTGATGAAACATCAAGGATATTTATCAAAAATATCGCTGCCTCTTTATTAACACAGCAGAAGCTTATGGACATTAATCTTAGATGGCATTTTTAAAATTGAAGTTTTAAAGAATCAGAATGAGGAATAATTTTCTAAATCAATGGTATTGTGAACACCAAGTGTGTATTCACAAAGGTGATGAAAAGCTGTGTGTGTTAGAATGTTTTTGCCTCAAAATAACAGAAAATTATATCACAAACTGGCTTAAAGGATAATGAGGAAGTTCCAAGGTGTGTGGTATGGTGGACTTCAGGAGTTGGTGGTTCAGCAATGTCCTCCCAGACCCAGGGTGTCTTTGCTGTCCTGTTCATACGCTCGCGCCTCCCTCAGGGAGGGTTTCTGCTTAGTTGTAACATGACTGCCAGGGCTACAGGCTACTTTACTCAGGTCCAACTGGCTTCTTGTGAAGTATCTTTTATTTATTTATTTATTTATTTATTTATTTATTGAGATGGGACCTTGCTATGTTGCCCAGGCTGGTCTTGAACCCCTGGCCTCCATTTCCTCCCTACTCCACCTTCCAGGTAGCTAAGATGACGGGTGTGCTCCATTGCACTTGGCTGGATCTCTTTTGAGAACTAGGCTTCCGAGAAGCCTCTAGCAAAACTCTTTCATGTGGGCCACAAGTTGGTCACAGTGACAAGAAAATCGGATTGCCCTTATACAAATTGGACCCATCATTAAAGTTGGAAGGACAGTCAAGAGAGGTTTCATTCCTTAACTTCAGCCTTACACACTGTTACTATCCTCATTTCACATATGAAGTAAGCACATAATGCGCAGAGAGATTAAATATATTCGCCTAGACTTACCCAGCTAGTAAAGGTGGCAGACAATCCCACAACCTCAGTTATCAATGTAAGACACACAGATTTAGTGTTTTCATAGATACTAGCAATTTCCAACCCCTTCCTTCTGAAAAAGATAATTCCAAATACGGTCTGGTTTGGAAAGAGTGCATGAAGCAGTACATGTTTTCATAAAGCTGCATCAGAATGGCTTTAAAACCTTAGCCAATAGTTTTTTTACTTTTATTCAGGAATTTACCATGGTTATTGGCTTATCCATGAGGAAGCCAGTTAAAGTTTTGTCAGGTGAACAATGAACAGTTCTGGGTCTGTAATAGGCTATGTCAGTTGTAAGAGGGACAATTTTTGAGGAAAAAAAAAAAAACAAACTCATTGGCACTAGCCCTAGTGATTAAGAGAGGCATTTAGCTATCAAATATCTGTGAGGTAGAGAACAGGCACAAGATAGGTAATGAAGGAAGGAGTGATTTAAAGTAGATTTGCATAGATTGAAAGTGAACAGTATAGTTTATAGACCATGGATCAAGCTGTGGTGGAGAAGATATAAGGTCACACCCCTGAAAGTGTTAGATATGTTGACATCTTAATTTCTCCAGATAATAGAAATTATAACCGTTTGCATAAAGTAAAATTAATTTATATGGTTACACTACCCAAACATTTTGTGTCCTTCAGAGGGTAAGAGATACAGGCCAGGCCATGGCTTAATTTAGAAATTATTTATAGGTAAGTATTTTCATTTCTGTCAAAATTTTAATGATTTTTATGGTATGAAAACCAGTGGCAATGTGAAACCACTATCAAAAGTCAGTTTTCTAAAAACAGTTAAATAAATGGAAAAATCAGTGGTCAAAAGAAGAATGCAAAAATTAAAATAGGTGTTATGCACAGAAAAGATTTGTTTCAAAGTTTATGTAAACAAATACTTAGAAGAAGGAAAGGCAATTATAAGTAATTGTGTAACCATAAAAATGATACAGCACTTCACCTCCCAAAGGATCTTTAAGTGCTTTACAGAACCCCGCATTTCTTTAAGAGATGTATGCTAGATTCATTCACTTATAATAGACAGAAATAACTTGCCATGCATTAAATTCCTTTTCTTTCTTTTTTTTTTTCGTGGGGGACGGAGTTACACTCTTGTTACCCAGGCTGGAGTGCAATGGCGCGATCTCGGCTCACCGCAACCTCCGCCTCCTGGGTTCAGGAAATTCTCCTGCCTCAGCCTCCTGAGTAGCTGGGATTACAGGCACGCGCCACCACGCCCAGCTAATTTTTTGTATTTTTAGTAGAGACGGGGTTTCACCATGTTGACCAGGATGGTCTCGATCTCTTGACCTCGTGATCCACCCGCCTCGGCCTCCCAAAGTGCTGGGATTACAGGCTTGAGCCACCGCGCCCAGCCCGTTAAATTCCTTTTCTATAGGAATCAAATTAGTCTTGGGAACTCATTGTCACAATATCATGGGCTGGGTGCAGTGGCTCACACCTGTAATCCCAGCACTCTGGGAAGCCAAAATGGGCAGATGACTTGAGCTCAGGAGTTTGAGACCAGTCTGAGCAACATGGCAAAGCCCCTCTCTACAAAAAAATACAAAAATTAGGTGGACATGGTGATGCATACCTGTCGTCCTAGCAAACTGAGAGGCTGAGAGGTGGAGGATTTCTTGATCCGAGGAGGTAGAGGCTGCAGTGAGCCGAGATCATGTTACTACACTCCAGCCCGGTTGACAGAGGGAGAACTTGTCTCAAAAAAAAAAAAGTTCTATCATGATGGGTAGGGCTGGCTTGCAGAATGCAGTAAATCAGTTAGTAAATAATGCCGGATGCAGGAATGGTACTGTGACGTGCTGGTCCCTGGAGCGAGGTGTTGCTGCCACCACACCTGAAAGTTTCGAGCTCCTCAGAGGATTCACTGGAGCCCTTAATTTGTTCCATTTGTGTTTTCAGTTAAGTCAGCTGAGCAACTGAGTCCCTGCTGAAGTCCCACTCTTCATTTTTCTCATATTTGTTTTTTATCATCTTATCCTTTCTCCTAAAAACATCCTTTGGCTTTTCTAATCAGCTTTATATTTTACTAAGAACTTAACAACAAAGCTCACTTTAACTAGGGGTGACTGGATAATGTAATGGTGAGGGCCTGAATTAATGAACGTGGCTTCTTTGACAGTGTGCTTATGTAGTCATGATGTTGAAAACGCAAATAAAATAAGCTCTTGATTAGTAGATGTTTCAACATGGTTTTTATGAATTACCTTGGAATTTTTTAGAACATTATACAAAATCAACTGGAGGCTCCAACATGACTTCACTCTGCCTCATAATCTTTTTTCTTATATTTTTAAAATTGGTATGTCATAGTTGTACATATTTGGGGGGGTATGATGTGATATTTTGGTACATAGATACAATGTGTAATGATCAAATCAGGATAATTGGGATATCATAACCTCAAATATTAATCTTTTCTTTGTGCTAGGAACATGCCTCATACTCTTGATTGTAACACTAGATCATAATCTTGATGGAACATTACCTGCCATGTAGTGTTTTGTTGGCTGCTGAGGCTCAAAGCCTTCCAAGGCCTAACCTTAGTGTCATGCACGGGATCTTGCTGGGCTTTGTCTGACCAAGTCTGGGTCTTGTTCTTGAATCTCCATGGGTATTATCAGTCTGTGGCATCGAGAGAGCTAATGACAGGCCTTGAGGCAGAGATGTGGACACGTACAAAGAGCAGGCAGCTCAATCGGAAGCACGCGGGGCACATGGGACATGCTGACACGTCTAACAGAATCGTCTATTGAGGCCATTTCCAGTTCTATTATTCTATGAGTCTATGAAGTTTCCTGACATCATAGCAGATTATTTTCGTTTTCCTGGAGAATTGGCTGATAATGCCTAGAGCAATGAATGGCCTCACCTACTCAGGCTGTTTTGTACTTGAACATCACAGTTAAAATTTATTGCTAGAATTCTGATTCTACTACTGCATTCAAGATGGCAGCACTCATTAGCAGAGAATTATCAAGTTCATATGCTCTCTGAGCAAGAAAAGCCCTTAGTTATCCTAAGATACTGGTATAGATCATTGTTTCTCTTGAGTACAGGAAGAGGCACTTTATATACTTGTTTTAAAGTATTATTTCTCCGTTTTTAAGCTTTGGAATGTTAAATAGAAGCTGCTAGGCATGACCAACAATTAAAGTCATCCAGTAATTGTGAAGGCCCAAAAGCCAATATAAGATTTCTCATGTCAGTTAAGGAAATTTTAATTGCTCATTTACATTTTGTCTTAGTCCTTTTTGGCTGCTGTAACAAAATACCATAAACGTTTCAGTTTATAAACAACAAGACATTTATTTCTTACAGTCCTGGAGGCCGGGAATTCCAAGATCATGGTGCTGGCAAATTCGGTGTCTGGTGAGGGCTTACTTCCCAGTTAAAAGATAGCCTTTTCAATGTGTCCTCATCTGGCAGAAGAGGTGAGGGAGCTCTCCAGGGTCTCTTTTATGAAGGCACTAATCCCATTCATGAGAGCTCCATCCTCATGACCTGATCACCTACTGAAGGCCCCACATCCTAATATCCTCATATTGGGGGTTCGAATTTCAACATACAAATTTGGGAAAGACACATTCAGTCTATAACACATTGTATCATGTCGGAAAATATTTTAAGAAGAAATTTGGAGAAAGAAGAAGATTTCAAAAGTCAGGACCACTTCTTCATACATAAAATGGCCTGTTGATATTCGTGAGAAATGCTAATTTCTCACGAATGGCTACAGCAGGTGTCATATGGAGTCTAACATGTTCATATTTCTAAGTGACATAACCCTTTCCTTTTATTGATTAGTTTTTTTACATTGCCTTTCCTCTCTCCTAAATTAAAAAAAATCAAAATGTATGAAGTTGAAGTCTAAAATATTAACAATTCTAAAACAGAAAATGTAGCCAATGGTATTTTTTTTTCACCCTGAAAGACTTACTAGTATTATATTTGAGCAAAGAGAGAGTCTGATTAATGCAAAGCTTTTGGCTTCCTGAGAAGTATTTTCTTAAGTGTCACACAGAGTCTATGGCTCAGTGAAATGAGAATGTGCAGGTCCATTTAAGAGGGAGGGTCTTTGCTGAAAAGGCAGAATACTGAGAGGGCATTTCTGTTCCACCGTGCAGCGGCTTGGATTGCTCTGGGCTCCGTCTGCAGGTGCCAAACTATGCTCAAGGCTCTCCTCAGCTGTGGTCAGTCATTCAAAGAAAAATCTTTCTGGAGGTGAGCGAGCTCTCTAGGAGTCACGGTTTTAGACTTTTCATATTAGGTAATGGGAGGATGGCTCTGAAAAAAACCAATGTGCTTAATAAATTTAAAAATAAAACAAATTTTATTGTAGCACTATCTTCTTAGAAATCTTCCAACTGAGAGAAAGTAAAATAAAATGAATAAAAACTTTAGTTGTTACTCCAAACAGCCTCCTTTCCTCTGCAGCTATGTAATGGAATTACTTCATTACATCTCGCTCATTGTCTCTTTTAAATGAAAGTAAACGTAGGGAAAAAGTGGGCCAAGGTGTGAAATATAAGAAGCTCTTTCACCGCCCCTTTATTAATCTCTGGCACTGAAACACGGATGAATTATTAAGAAAAAATGTCTATTTGATGAGAAAACTGATCAAAATCACTTAAACCAAAATGCCTGACTGTATGTTTGTTTATTCAGCCAATATTTAGTGGTCTTTATTTCTCTTCTATAAGCAAGTACTTCGCTAGGTGATAGGAGGATGCTAGGATGAATCAGACCCAGCCTGTCCTCAAGAAATTTAAATAATGTAGGAGAGAGAAAATGTGAATATATAACATAAATTGAAAGTAGAAAGTGAAGTGTCAAAAGAAAACCATGGGTACAGGGCTATGGCAGTTGGAGGAAGGAAAGATTACTTCCAGCTGAAGAAATTAGTGGATGTTTTGAGGAGGCTGCAGATGGGGGGAGGAGGAGGGAGAACTTTGAAGGCAGGTGATGGGGTGAGGGTGGCGGCCGGAGCCAGCTGGACGGCGCAGGGAATGTATGCGAAGCAGTGATTAGCAGGCATTGCTTCCATCAAGGCTGAGATAAGGCTGCCTGAGCAACAGGAAATGATGTTGGAAGGGCCGGTCTATTCAGACTAGAGATCACATTGGTTAAGGATTTCATATATAATTGGGTGGAGAATGAGTTTTTGAGCAGGAAACAGACAGAATATTGTTATAATTCAGAACAATTAGTTTGGAAAAGTTTAATCAGATGAGTTGAAATCCCCCCCAAAATTGGGATAGAATACTCATTACAAGGCTTTTGTATAATCAAAATAAACCCTTCCCAAAGTATGGATGGTGTATAATTTGTGGTATGTATGGCAAATCTAAGTGCTATTCAGATTTTAATAATAGCATAAGTTTAAGTACATATTTAAAAATATAATTTGTATATCAAACCTCTCATTCCATAGACTATTGCAGTGGATGAATCTAAAGAAATAACGTAGGTCTATTAAATTTAAAATGTTAGATAAATAATATAGTGCATGAGATCTCCCCATGTTGCCCAAATCCTGAAGGCCTTAGGGGAGTGACTGAAGGTCGCAAAATCTGATCTAAGTGAAATCGAATGAGTTCCTACCTTAGGACAATGGAAATGGAAGTGAGGGGATAAGTATTAGAAATAGTCTGGAGGAAGAATCTGCATATTCTGGCAATCTAAGTGTGGTGAACAGGGAATGATGGGGAATCCATCCAACATACTGCTAGACTTTTGGACCTGACTCTATTAGAATGCCAGTAACCACCAAAAGAAATAGAGCAGTAGTAGGTTTATGAGAAAATGAGAGTCCAGTGTATGAGCATGCACCAGGCATTTGAAATGCGGAACTGAAGAACTGAAGGGCTGGAGTAGGAAGAGGTTTAGAATCAGCCTCTGATTCTAAAGGCTCCAAGGTAGCAGCTGAAGTGGTGAGATTGTTACTGAGGACTATAGAGAAGAAGGCCAAGGATAGATCTTTGGGAAAGCATATTTAGGAATGACAGCAGCTAGAGAGGCCCAAGAAGATACCAAAGAACTAAGAAGAGAAGTGAGAAAATCCCTCTTCTCTTAGTCATGGAAGAATATTCGAAGCCTGAGCCCCCAGTATAGCCCTGTGATCAGCATCAGGTAGTTAGTTGCTAAATAAACGTTAATGCAAAAGAAATGCATAATCAACAGATCAAGGTCTATAGAGAAGCTCGATGGGCCAAAGGGAGAAAATACCAATGAATCTGGTCATGAGGAAGTCATTGGTGACCTTTCGGTCTGTAGAGTCTCAGTGGAGTGACAAGGGCAGAAGCCAGATTGCAAGGAGGGAAGGACAGAGTGGGGGGTCCGGAAGTGGACTTTTCTTTCAAGACCTGTGAAAATAGAGAGGATGCTAGCTTGGGAGGGGGCAGGGAGTACAGCTGGGGAAAGGTGGTTGTTTTTTGCTTCTCTTCTTTCAAAGAATAGGGTATGCTCATGCACATTTGTGAACAAAAAGAAAAGATCATAGTAGAAGTGAAGAGACTGAAAATTCAAAGGGGCAGAGTATAAGGGCAAAACGAAGGGAAAAAACAAGAAGTGGGGGTAATCAAAGGCACACATGGGAAGAATAGCACTGGCAATGTGGAAGAACAGTTCTTTCTGTCAGACTAGGTGGGAGTAAATACAATTAGTGATATCAAGAGAAAAAAAGAGGAAGCTCATTTTGACTTTGGTTATTTCATTTAAGTAGTAAGATCATCATCAAGTTGTATCAAGACTGGGGTTTGCTCCTTGAGAAACATGAAAAACGTGGCAGTTTTCAGTGCAAGGGTTGAGATTGCAGAAAGATGAAGAGTATCAGTCTTCTTGCTGCAGTTTGAGGCTGGCAAGCTTGGGTGATGGTGGTAAAGAGGGCTCCAATCCCTATTAGAATGTAAAAAACTTAGTTTCTATTTAGCTTAGTTCAAATACCATCAAGCAGATAGTGGAGGAAGTACAGTAGCTCCTAAAAGCAGTGGCCATAATCTGTTTCTCAAAAAAATCCCTTTGTAGTCATTTTTAAGGCCTGTGACATGTAGGTCCTATTAATTGAATTCAACCCATTGAGACACTGACGCCTGAAGAAATTATTGGCTATAATAATGAGGTGACTGCCTTAGGTATCACACCAAATTTTCTCTCCTTTTTTCTCCTGATATTTAAAACCCTTCCTTGCTGGAATATTAAGAATTTGAAGACAAAAAAGGTACAACTTGTTTCCATGTGGGAGGTAGGAAGAACATTGCTTTTGGAGTCAGCTCTGGGCCTGGTGACTCTGACTTGCCAGTTGTGTGCCGTAATCGCCCCAAGCCTCTATTTTCTCATGTGTAAAAAAGCATTTTAAAAATTTCAAATGAGGAATTTAAAGATTACATTCCCAGTAGGTTTACTGCGAGAACTAAATTAAAGTGTGCAATGCGGTGCCAAGCATATAATAGTTGCTCAATAAATGGAAGCTAAATTACTTTCACTTTGGTCGATTTTCACAGACTATCTTCTAAGCAAATTCTGCAGGTGTTTGCCTTTGGAAAAGTGTGTTTGTTGTCAGTGAATGGTTACAGGGAAAGGGATATACTTGTCCTGTAGCTGAACAAATGAAAACCTTGGTTCTGTGTTCTCAAAAATGAAAACTCTCCGCAGGTTGGGTCAGGTTGCTACCATAGGCTGGAGCCTGTGATTTTCAGAGCAGCAACACTCTTAATGGTACTCTTCTGCATGCCCTTAACCTTGCTCATTTTGCTGGGCTCAGTACCAGTTTTCATCCTCTAGGCAGGCAAACCTAAGTGTCATTGTGGCAGTTCCTTCTATACTAAGAGGAAGCATTGATCACTAAGAGTCAGCATTGGTTTACTATGAGTAAATTAAACCAGATCTATCTTGACCTCTGACAAGGTTGTTGTGATGACCATGTCAGTTTGGTTCATTGCTGTACGCCCAGTGCCTGACACTGATCCTGGAATATAGTAGACCCTCTATATATTAAATAAATGAGCCAACGATGTCCTTGTGAGCATAATGAAAAATTACTAGCCACTGAGAGTTTACTCAGATGGCTTTGTAATGAAAGACAGCACAAAGAGATTGCTAGCACCTGAACTCAATTGGCTTTGTCTTCAGCCCGGTTATATGCAATTATTTTCAAAATGATAAATTGATTGAGGCCATTGATGACTCTACCTTAAGATGAAGAGAGAGCCAACTCTTCATCTGACATCAACATTCATTCTGACATGTTAAATGTCAGAAACGGAATCCAAAGAAATCCTAAGAAAGAACACAGAAGAATGGAAATAACTAGTCATGTACGGTTAGAAAGCTTAAGATTTGAATCTCGGTTTCGGCCAGTACTTGGAGTGTGACCGTCAGCAATTTGCTTAATCTTCCAGCCTGAGTTTCATCAACTAAGTTATGAGGGGACTCTCTACCTCACAGGGCTCTTGCATGGATGAAACATTTGGCGTAATGTGGAAGCCCTCAGAGCAGTGTGCTTCAAGTAGATTAGGAACTCCTTAGCTTATTTCTTATGGCTGTAAATAGTTTGGAATGTGTTGAAACAGTGGGCCAACCCTAAGGAGATGAAAATGTAAAGAAGATAAATGTAAAGAGTATTTAAGTACCATAATTTAATTATACAAATATAAGGCAGAGGCTATGTGACAGAGGAGAGATTTTAGCTGACAGTAAACATGGAATTATTTGGAAGAAAAAGAAAGCCTTGGCCAGGCCCTGGGGCTAATGTCTGTAATCCCAGCACTTTAACAGGCTGAGGTGGAAGGATTGCTTGAGGCCATGAGTTTGAGACCAGCCTGAGTAACATAGCAAGACCCCATCTCTACAAAAAGTAAAAGAATTAGCCAGGTATGGTGGTGTGCACTTGTTTTTCCTGCTACTTGAGAGGCTGAGGTGGGAGGATCAATTGAGCCCAGGATGTGGAGGCTGCAATGAACTGTGATTGCATCTCTGTACGCCAGCATGGGTGACAAAGGAAGACCAAAAAAAAAAAAAAACCCCAAAAAACAAAACAAAAAAACCCACCACCACAACAACAAAAAAACACCTTGTATTTATAGAACAAAGCATCCAGAATGGAAGAAGTTATACAGAGTGTAGTCCACGCTTATCAAACTGGCTTTGAACTAGGGTGCCATTTATTGGATCCACCTTTAAGGAGGACATTAACAACCTGTAGGCCATTGTGAGGAAAATGGCATGAAGGAACAGTGGCTGCTTCAACTGGAGAAGAGAGAGAGAACAGCTGAAGGGACAGTAGAGTATCCTTAAGTGTTCGAAGGATTTGCATGAGGAAGAAGGCAACTGGACTTGCTCTGTGATATGACAGGGGAGGGGGCAAGGATTAGTGAAGGTGCAGGTCTGCAGGTTTTAGCTTGACCTCAGTCAGCGCTTGGTAAGCACCAGCGATCTGAAGGCAGAATGAACTGCCTGCAGAGGTGGTATGCCTCATCTTTCTGAATATGCTTAAGCCGTGCACATTTGTACCTTGGCACCTGTGGTAGAGAGATCAAGAATTGGCTAAGATACTGAATTACGTATTATCCATGGGCCCTTCCAAACCTGTGACACTGGGATTTCCTTTACCTTTCCTAACTCAAAGTTAGCAAAATGCTCATTCTTTCTTAAAAAAAAAAGGTGGAAAGCAGCTTGGTTTGAGGGCAGACAATAAAATTAACCCAGAAAAATAAAGAGCCTGTCAGCCTCGTGTGTTCGTTTGTTGGTTTTGTTTTAAAAGAGCCATTAGCTGAGTTTCACTCTTAGCTTTAATCAGATTCTCTGATTAAGAATTCCTTAAACACTCCACCAAGTAAGCAATCTTTCCTCTCACATCTGGCAATTTTTGTAAAGAGAGCAACATGCTCAAGGCATAGCTCAAAATAGAACCTGTATTTCCCAACTTCTAAATCCCTGAGCTATTCCTATACAATGCTTTTTACCCTGAACTTTTGAGAGGCTGTTTGAATTCACCCTTCCAGCCCTTGAGGGCTTTCCTTTCAGTGATTCACAGCTCTGTTTGACATCCAGTTTTGGAAAGGTTAGAGGACTTGACAAGTAAAACCTCTAAGAGTAAATGGTAAGGGGAGGCCTGAATGCAAAGATGTAATGTGGAGAGTTACTCCCACTTCTGGTTGAGAAATGGTGATTCTTATTTTTAGCTGGGAAGACAATGGGACAAAGTCATGCAGTTTAGATCTTGGTCTTTAATCACAAGTCTGGCCAGCCCTCAGCTCTTAAGCCAGCATAGAAGTTACGGGAAAGTCACGTCATCTGCAGAGTTTCCATTCCCTTTCCATCTGTCCCATATCTCTTGTTCACTGATTCTGTTTTGGGCCATGATATTTGACCTACTAAGAAAGAAACAGTGCCTCTGGGAGGAAATCTTGGCGAAGTTTCTAGATTCCCTTTAATTCCCCGACTTTACTCTGAAGAAACATGTAATTATGATGAGACTCAATTATTGCTAAACGGAAATATACAGCAGCAGAAATTCAAGCAGTGTTTGTATTCAAATCTGCCGCTCGGAACTAATTTCCATTATTAATTATCCCAATCTTGGTTAAAAAAAAAAAAAAAAACGGAGGAGGAGGAACAGTTTGACTAGTGGTAGCTCTGTGAATTGTCACGAGGAGCCAGTTGGTTCCCTGAGGCTGATCGTTGTCCAGTCTGCCCTGCATTCTTCCAGTGTGAACACCTAGAGCTGTTGAAAAGAATTGAGATGCTTGTCAACAGAATGGAAAGCTGGCCTTCATCAAAACAATTTTAGTCTGTGAGACTAATGACCTTTCATTGCTGTTTGTTTTAGTTTGGAACTAAATGAGAAAATTGTCTTAGATAACACTAGCTTGGTCTTCCTTTTCCAACTATTTTGTTGGGAAAACCTAAGTAGCATAATTGTTCACCAGTGTTTTAAAAATATATTTGTAACAGACTAGAGGAAATGGTTAACTAGCCCAGAAGTCCCAGAAACCTAACTTCAAATGGATAATGAAAAATAATAATAATACAAGGATTCAAGTCGAACAAGAAAAATGCCTATTGTGCACAATAATAGTAGTTCCACATGATAAAATGCAACATTTGTAAGTGCTGCTTACCTCTAGTTTTTTTTTTTTTTTTTTTTTTTTTAATAGCTGTAAACTGAGCTAGCTGATGAACAGTCTCTAGGGATAGGATAGGATCACCCTTGTTTCCTGTTCAGCCTTGCTGAAGGAAAAAAAAAAAAAAACCCTAATGAAAGAAAAGAACGTAATGGCTTTGCCATTAATCCAGGTAAAAGGTTTAGGAGAGTTCAAAGCTCAGTTAATTTTTAAATCTTTGATCACTAAATTTTTTTTTTGAAGAACAAATAAATTTCTGGCTTGTAAGGCATAGAAACCTGCAAATCAAAATGTAAGTTAAAACAAGAGATGTTCAATCAGGAATGTAGAAGTCCTACTGGAAAAAGTAAAAGTTAAATCATTTTCATTTATCACTTTCCTCGTTCATTTGAAGTGGCATGCAATTAGAAAAAAATGTGCATGGATATGGCCTTCCTTGGTTAAGTGTCTATGGGTGGGAATGTATGAAAATGTTTAAAGTGTTTAAGTAAAAATATAAAATCGACTTTACATAACACCACTGGATAATTTAGAGACATTTGCTGTATTGACCATTTCCCTTCAGCCCTATATCGGGGTGGAGAACAGAGACGTTTGTTGCATCGTTGGAAAGCAATGAAATTTCTGTAAGTTGTGATCTACTGGCATGTAATAACTCGATCTGCTTCATGCAGACAAAATATATTAAAAGTATGGACGAGTGAAGTTTGTGCCCCAGGGAAAAGGCGAGATAATGCATTGAAATTGTTCAGAGGTAGTTAGATGCCTAATGGTCTAATATGTGAGCTATGTGAGGTCTGAGGTCTGGTTCTCATAAATTCTGGCTAGACTGATCCTGTAATTTCAAGCAAAGGATAAAAGCGTTAGCCAGAATCATCAGTGTTCAAGGTCCATGATGGTGGATATTATTCATGTTAAGATTTTTAAAAGAAAAAACACACTTTAAAAGGGATGCTGTGGAATATAATTTATGGTTCTGTGTATTTGCATGTTTGTGCTTGAAAATAAATGCACACCTACATGCACAGTATAAGCCATTTAATGAAATAAATTAACTCAGAATTTATATAAACCTTTCATATCTTTTCCATGATGGGATAGGATTTTTGATATAATAATGTGCTGCATGAGAAACCATGTAGGATCTAATTATTTCAACTTCAGACTGACATATCTGTGTTTAAATTGGGGTAAAAAAACATGTTTGTAATAAAAATTTACCATTACGAATGGAATAATTTAAAACCAATTTGGACGGATTCAGGAGTGATTAGAGGAAAAAGTTCCCAAGACATTTGGTAGTCTTATAAATGATTTCAAAAATATGCTAAGACTATCCGACCAATTATATTGGCTGAATACTGAATCCTCAGATTTGAAAAGAAAATTCCTTAAGAACCAGGCTTTTGAAATTAGGTAGATGGTGGGTATGAAAACCCTTGATAACTTCCTCCTTTATGTAATTTATTTCATCATGGGGGTAGAAGTTTTGAAGTTTTCCTTTGCAGTTTCTTTTCTTTTTTTAACCAGCTCACTTATGTTTAAGTCTACAGTATATTTATACAGTCTTTCCTGCCAGAATCGTTGACAGTATTTTTAAATGCTTTCCCTTGCTGCCTAGGTTATACCAAGCACCACTCTCCTCAAGTTCTCAAAACTATACCACCCACACACACATCATGAATAGAGATGTGCTTACTTTTTTTTTTCTTTTGGAAAACAAAGTGTTCAATCTAAAATTACTTTGGCTTTATTGACCCTGCAAATCATCTCAACTTCACACCTTATGGAGGTAGCTAGTTTGAGCTTCTGTTTGATCCTGGTGACAGGACTATCATTGTAAGATTTTGTTTATAAAAATGTCTACTTTTACATGTATATAATCTCTCTCTATTAGTACCATACTTTAAAGCACTCTGTCATTCTGTAAGAACCTCAGTAGAAGGTACCTTTTGGGCTAAAAATCTTTTGATTCAGTCTTCTGAATTTACAAGAAGACATTTGTAGATTCAGTTACAATGGATTACATGAGTTTGACTTTTAAAATTACTGAAAATGCTTAACCCCAAACTGCTCTGCCTGATAGTGCAGCACATACATGTAGCCTTTATATTTTAATACACAAATATTTTCTGTTAGGGATCTAGGGAGTGATATTCCTTATTTACAAATGAAGTGACCAGTCTCAAAGATAAAGACAAGCTTTAAAATCATCCTTAAAAACCATTAGATTGCAAACTTTCCATCACTCATATTGATGAAAAACAAACACCTTTTTGCTGAAAAACAAATGCTTCCATTTTCTTTTTTACCTTGAAGAAATATACTAAGAGATTCACCTACCATTTAGAATGTAAAGGACAATTATAAGGAATGAGATGATGCCCTAGGAGACTTTAACAAGTGAGTTAATACTTTTTTTTTAATGAAAGTACAATGGAAGAATTATTTAAATACTAGAATTCTAGAAGTTTCTTTTTGTCTCATTTAAATAATTATAAAATAGAAAAGATTCCAGAATTAAACTGTCATGGGTTTCTCTTCAATCTTATGAAAGGAAATCCAGGTAATGATTCACCTGTCTCTGGTTTTGAATAATTTTATTGGTGTGCTCATCCTTCCAGAACTCCTCCTACTGCTTTCTCATTGACATTTTACTGCCGTTTCCTTGAAGATAAAATGACTGTGTAACAATCCTCAGCTATAATAATTTGCAAGAATTAGTGGTGGAGTCAGGCTATTTAACTTTTCATTATTTGTTCTCTATTAGGAAGACTCGTAGTTTTAGCAGGAAGGGTAAGTATTAGAAATTTGGAATTCGTTTACATTTTCTATCCAAAGTTAGGTAATATGATTACCTTTTGATTATTTCAATTCTAAACATCTCAAGGCAAAATTCAAAATTCGTGCTAGAAAACCTGAGTAGATTCCTCTCATCAGCCCCCTTTTCTCCCCCTCCTCCTCATTCCCCAAATCTTTTCCAGATTGTTTGCAAAATGAAATTATCTAATTTCACGAGTATTTGTTCTGAGAAAGTGCTACACTCTCTGGTAGAGAAAACTCAGAGACCCACTTTCAACGCTTAATATCTTAAGACAAGATCTTTTTGTCCATGAAAGAACACCCTAGATTCGATGGGGTCTCTGAGAGAACCATCTGGGCCAAGTTTTCCCAAATAGATCTATGAACTAGCATATGACAACACCACTTACAGTAAATGACAATGAGAGCTTTTAGAAACACCGTATGCTAATAACTTTGTTATTTCTTTCAACAATTTATATCACCAAATCAAACTCTAGCAAGAATTTATTCAGGATGTTTTAATATCCATTGAGGCACTATTTCAAAATATACATCTGCTTGCTTAATTATAATATTTCTGAATTTGTAACACTTGTCACTATTACATTTCGTCTTTAAAAAACTTTAGCAACTGATGCTGAATTTTTAATTTCAACAGTACAAACTTTTCAACTGCTAAGTATTGAGGAAGAAACACTGAGCTAATTTGACTAATTAATCTAGTTGATTATAGTATATTTATCCAAGCAGGGTTAATCTGGCAGACCAAAAAGTTTAAGGAGCCTCTAGTAAAACTATAAATGAAGGCCATTAGCAATTCAGTGACTAAACAAGTTATTTGATGGAAAATTGACACTTTAATATGTACTTTTAATCATCTAATAAAGAGTGTAGCCTAATAGCTTTAAGAGTTTATACTCTGTACTTGCATTATGTTTCTAATGCTCACAAAGCATCCTAGACTATAGCATAATTAACAATCTTTCTTTCCAACTATTATACTGCACGAGTATGCCTAGACCAAACATTTTGTATTTATTTTCTTCAGGCTCTCTCACTGCATTATGCCATCAACCTTAGTTAGTTAGTACACCCTAGCTAAGATGCATGAGAGAAACAAACTCTCATTTGTTTAAATATTCCACCTACAATAATGTAAATGATGACAGAATTAGTGAACATGGGAACTCCTTTTACTTTGTGACAGTAACCACATTTAATAGGCCTAATTTTAGATGTAGTCACTCATTCTGTCCCATGATAAAGTAAGATGTGGAATGTGCCCAAACAGAACTTCTAAAGGTATATGTTAAATCAAAGAGTGTTCCTTTAAGTTTGCACAAAAATAAAAGAGAGAAAAATCTCATTGATTTTACGGAAGAATTAAGGGAAAATATCACTGTATGAATTGCTTGATGTGAGGGAATTCTAGAGCTTTAGTCTGATACTTAGTAGACAAGTCCCCTGAGTAGGAAGCATGGCTAATTCTGTTCTTTAAAGTGCCTAATGTGGTGTTGACACACTCAAACGTTAAATAATATATGTTAACATGGAGGGAAAGCTCAAAGCTTATATGAGGTAAGGCTGAAAAATAGTTAGTTATACATGCCCTTGATTCACAGAAAATAGAGAGGCAAAAAACTCACATTCATTTATTCATTTCAGGAAAAAGCCTTATAGTCTTGTGTTTAGCACATGTTGAATTTACATTTCCTAGATTTTCAGAGCCTCAAATCCTCCCTCAGAAGAAAATTTATCTAATAGCTCTCAATATCAGGGTTTTTTTTGTTTTTCGTTTTTTGTTTTTTCTGAAAAGCATATCTCCCTGTCTGGCACTCACACTTGAAATTATTATACTAAAAACATTAAGTTTCTGCTTCTTTTTAAAATCTATAATATACTTAAAAACATCAAATTGTGCACTTTAAATGGGTGCAGTGTGTTATGTAAATTACACCTTAAAGCTGTAAAAAAAAAAAAAAAAAAAAACACTAAACTATACCGGTAAGCTGTGCCATCTTTCATCTTTCTTTTTTGAGTAGTTCTTTTTTTCTTTTCTTTGAGATAGACTCTCCCTGTGTCGCCAGGCTGGAGTGCAGTGGTGCGATCTCAGCTCACTGCAACCTCTGCCTCCTGGGTTCAAGCGATTCTCGTCCCTCAGCCTCCCAAATAGCTGGGATTATAGGCATGTGCCACCACAGCCAACTAATTTTTCTGTATTTTTGGTAAAGACAGGGTTTCACCATGTTGGCCAGGATGGTCTCAATCTGACCTTGTGATCCGCCCACCTCAGCCTCCCAAAGTGCTGGGATTAAAGGCGTGAGCCACCACACCCGGCCTTGA